ATGTTGAAAATATGCCTTATATAATGCGTAATTTATAGCCTTCAGACCGAAGTCAGTCCTGTATAGGTACATGTAAGTCTCAGGTCAGGGCTACACTGTAAACACGTTTGAACTGCCAAAGACCAATTTCTATGACATTAGGCCGAGCTGATATCGGTTCTCAGCGGAAGGACGTGGGTCCTTACTGTAGCTACAATTTACCACTGGTCTGCACGGAACTACCGCTAGCCAATATCAAAACTAACTCTTTATGTTTCGAAATTTGTGCAGGTAACAGTAGAAAACGTTACGCTGATTTATCTGGTATTGTATTTGATATTAATACTCATTCTGGGAAAGAGTTGCATCAGTTTAAGTTATGTGGAATTGAACTTATACTGAGCGTTCTTGGAAATGACAATCTAGTGAATAAGGTATTGGTTGTTTATGTTTTAGACGTTGTGTGAAGCCTGCGTGTTTCCTAGATATTCTTCTTCCATTTAATATCATTAATAGATTTTTGTTTTCTGTGTTTTAGATTGAAAACGTTTCTGAAGAAAAAGATGATGGTGCTGAAAATTTCTATTTGAGGTACATAAAACGAACCATTTAATTTAATGCAAATAAAATTAAGCCCCCGTTTACATTTGCAATTGTTTCTGCGATTTCTAGTGCGATTTTCTCCTTCTGATGGATGTGAACGAGTAGATGAGCTACGAATGTTCCGAGTACATGTACCTTCATCTGAACATTCATAACTTATCGTTCACATCCGTCAGAAGAAGAAAATCGCATCAAAACTTGCAAGTGAAAACGAGCCTTCAAAAGTGACGTTTACGGCAGACTGGCCGCAAACGGCAATTAAAAATCGTATTTGAAGCTAGTTAAGGTACGTTTGCAAGTTTTCGATAGCTATTGTAAGTAGCTAATTCATGCTTAATTTTTGATGCACAAATTGCCCTAACTTTGAAAAGCTGTTGACTTTAGAGTACGATTTGAAGTTTGCCGTTTCCGGTTAGCGGTCGTTTTACGTCCATAAACGTCAATTTTAAGGTCTCCATGAAGTGATACAGAAACGTGAAAAATATAAACTGCACAACTCAACTCATCTTACCAGCAGCTGATAAGAAAAAAATGCATTGCTATAAATTGAACCGTCAGTTTGGTTGTTCATGTGCAGACGAGATGCAGAGTCAGTAACTAAAAAATAGTCACGTGATACATTTAGCGCTTGGTGGTCAACTCAAAATGGAAACACATTTATTGGATTGAGTTAAATATTCATTACAAGTATTGATCTTGTGTTTGGTATCAAATCTATGCAATTTAACGCAATTTACTTGCTTCCACAAGGCATGAAGTGGTAATATTTGTAAAGTTGACCATCAAGCGTTTCCCTATTGTATAAATCTTGAGTGAAACCTACCTATACTCTAATTTTTACGACTGGTTAATGATTTAGAATTAACTGTTGTTTGGTTGCTTGACGTGTACAACGTTGTGATATTTTGCCATGTTTTGGTTAACATTTCAATGACATTATGTTTATTTTTAGTCTGCTCGAGGAAAGCCTGAAATACATCACACATATTTCACGATCACTTGAGAGCAGTGTTCAAGAAACGACGGTTAAATATTTACGTGTGTTCCTTCATAAGGTGTACCACATTGTTGAGAAGGTATGTTTTCTGAACTAATATTATCATGCATGTTTTTGAGCTGGGGAGACTTGCCAGCAGGGGCTTAATCTTACTTTTAACAGTTAGATCCAAGCACACACCGATGTGTTGTTGCATCTAAAAATCTCGTTTATTTGTATGTCTTGGAATGGGCGTCTAGGCTAGGCTTGATGTAACCTGAAATCAGGTTAGGTTTGATGACGAAGGCCTTCGCTCGAATTTTGTATTTTTCAGATAGTTGCATCTTCTATAGTGCTCGCTTTTGAATTCTTGCCATACCCTACGTTAGCACCCATGCACCGTTCGAGATTGTATAACCATTACCAACCAAATGCCATAAGATTTAAGCCTTCTAAAAACCACGGGTGTAATGTCATCACAAAGATGCTTCGAATGACAATGAAAACTGAACGAAGGATTTGTCAGATGTTCATACAACACAAGAGAGCCCCACTATGGCCCCGTTTCCAGAATAATTAAAACAGCTCAACATGAGGAAAATGCAGTGAAATCGTCAAAATAAGGCAATAGGACAAAGACAATAGGACATTCCGATCTCTAGATTATGACTGGATGGCACTATTGCTATGCTAAGTGTAATGCATGGGTTCATGCATTGATTCGCGCTCTGGCAAAGGATGTGCTAGTTCTGGTTATCTTAGTATATACATATCTATGTATAGCAAAACCACAATCACTGTACCTGATATAAATCACAATCTTTTGTTTGTATTTCCATAGTTGTGTGATCTTCTCCCAAGACCAGCGTTTGTTAGTATTGTTTCACAACTGGTTAAGAGTAAGAATACAATTATCAGAAGGAAATCTATGGACCTTTTCAACAAGAGAATGTCAAAAAATCCCCGTCAATGTTCAACAGAAGAGGTAAGCTATACTTGTTTGTACGACTATACATAGCAACCACTTAAAGTGCGAACCCAAATATGATTTTTTGTGTGTGTAATATTGGGTAAAAGTTCGCCGAATAATGACTCCCCGCGGCCATTAGGACTGGATCTCGGAATTTTTTGCATATACGAAGTATTTTATTCTTTCGACTGCGGTTTGTGTCTTTTCTGATCTAATATACGCAAATATATAATAGGTAAGGCGATAAAACACATGTCATGATATGTATCGCATTTTCGAACTTTTTAAGAATTTTTAAATGCTTGAAGGTGAGCTACATGAAGGTGAGCTACACCAGTGTTTAGTTGAATTACGAGAGTCACCAATGCTTATTCTCTATAGTTTCAGAATTTAATACAGCAAAGCTTTGCCAAAATCCGTACTGTGGTTATACATGTAAAATCATCTTAAAAACCAAATATATACAGGGTGTTCCAGTTTTTACACAGCGAATTAATATTAGATTCGTTGAAAGAAGTTGCTTTGGATATAAGAATTATTTCAAATAAATAGCTTGTAGATTTTCTCTGGCTGAAGAAATAACATTCACGATCCAAAGTTTGACACGCTAGTTTGACAGTCTTCATCAGGGGCAACCAAAAGTTGCAATGTGGCTCCCTACCGTCATCCCTATTCAAAGAATGATGATTCATGTTTATATGTCACACTTTTAGCCAACGTCTTGCATAACGATTGTTATGAAGTGATAATGACCTAGGAGTCCTCATGCTTTGAACAGGGATAACGATAGATATCCCCACAAGAACATCTCCATTTTGCTAGATCACGTGATCCTTCGCTGTATCACAGAATAGGAAGGTATAGCAGAAGTGTAACTACAGTTATTTTAATAGATGGTTTGGAGACTCGATGAAAGTACAATATAACTCATTAACTATGGTATTGTCCAGCTTTATGCAAGAATTTGGTCCTATC